TGGAGAACTGTTACTAGGATGATCAGAGAATGGAAATTTCCCTGTTTTGTAAGATCAAAGTTAAAGAAAGTGATAGTACACTACCTTTTTTCCTTACTTCCAATTCCATCACAGTTTGTTTTGGCTTCTGCCTCAACTGCACCATTCTACCAGGCCAAATGCTCCTGTATCTATTCAGTGAACTGGGTAAAGGAAATCATAATCAATAAAAACCTTTTAATCATCAGTTTCTTGATGGGATTTCTTTTCTGAGTATGTAAGTCTATGCTGACACACAGAAAATAAGGCCTGAAGCTAAAAGTAGCAATGCCAACTTATGATGCAGATCATTGTTTGCTAATAAACACATGTTTAAAAGAAACACCAAGAAGGAGCATAAGTGTTTAAACATAAGGACAACACAAGCTTGGCGAAAATGCTTATACATCTATTAGAAATTACATTTCTGACTGGAAATCAGAAATTTTAGCTGGTCACAGAAGTACAGTTGTAGTTCCAGTAACAGGAACAAAGGCATAACCTGTTCTTAGCTACTATCTGCAAGTAATTTGGAAGCTCTTTTTCAATCCCATACTTAACAACTTGTATATTTTTAATGACAAGTATGCATTTAATTGTGTTGAAGTATCTTTTAAAATTAATTTCAAGAAATTCAGAGATTAGTAAATTAATAAATAAAAAAGTAGTACCACTTGTACATCTGGACAAAATGTAATATCTGGATATGTTACTAATAGTAGCAAGGTAAAAGAAACTTCAGGCAGAGTGTAATTTCTCTAAAGTTCCAAAATTACTCCAACAGCTTTTTTCAAAGAATTGACTCCTATATGTGGTGTGAGACTTTCAGATGTGCCTTGTACACCCTGAGACCCATTGCAATACTGTGGCCTGATTTTTAACAGAGTTTGGTACTTAGTATCTTGGGGTTTTTAAAACTTGTCTACCTGTTTATGTGCCTGAAGCCATTATTTGGCTGCAAAAAGGTGAAGTATGCAAAAAATATAAATGTAATTAAAACATTTTTTTAAAATCACAAAAAAAGCTCCAAAATGTAGGTAATCTGTTTTCATGGACGTTAAGTGGGAATTTAATCTTAGAGGGGAGAAAAAAAAGGAGGCACCTTCCAAAATCTTTGATGCTAGTTCTGAACATGGTTAGAGTTCATGATTTTGCATGAGAAACTTGACAAATTATGTATTGTGTGGAAGTTGACAGTATGAATCAAGAAACGGAACTTTCGCAACTAGCGAAAAGCTGTTAGAGCTGTTGCTTGAAAGCATCATCAAAACAAATTGAACACTGAAACGATTTTCTATATATTTACTGAAACATAAAAACTCTCTGGACATCTTTAGGAAATCCAGCACAGATCTCTCTCTTCCATTATGAGCACTATTCATCTCTTAATGTATCATTCAGGGAGTATCAGGCTAATGATAAAGTTTCATCAGGTAGAATGACTTGTGTGCTCTGGCCATTACCTAAGCTAAATTGTGGATTATTTTCCTACAGTTCATATAATAATAAGGTGTTACTTATGAAAACTAGTGATTCTGAATCTGAAAAAATTAAGCATAAAAGAGAATACAATTTAAAATTTAAAGTTTTAGTAACTATTTCTAAATTTGATACAAGTCCAAATACAAACATAATCTTAAATATAAGATATTAATAAAACAATAATAAAATCTATACTTGTAACTAGTATATAAAAATACTTCTAGATTCAATATCTACTTTATGGTTTCTGTTCAAATCTCCTGTCCTTTAGAGATTTCTTGTTTTACAGCTTTAAAGAAGCCTATCTGAAATTCTCTGTATTGGTAAAAGAGCACTGAACTGGAACTTAGTAACTTGATTGAAAAATCTACCATGAAGGATCAGATATTTTTGAGATCATCCTTTTCACTTTTTGACAAGAAAAGAAAGTGAATGCCTGTAAGTTTTTGGCTTCAAACCTTAAGCAAATGTTCACATCTGAAAACAGAGATAATCTTCAACATATTCATGGCCTTCTTGGATTTTGCCATATCCAGGTACCAGGACTTGCATCTGAAGATACCTAGCTCAAATGAAGTGGAAAGACCACTACAAAAACATGGACCCTTGGACTTTGTATTTTTTAGATGGCCTTATAACTTGATGGTGCCTATTCAACACAATATTCACCTTGACTGGGACATAGCTCAATTACACTGGGCCAGATACACAGCTGTTGGGCAGTAATGCAAATTCCATTAAAGCTTTCTGAGAGTAGCATTATCATGATGGTTTGCTGTTGTCCAAGATCTTTCCCCTCAGAATCCTGAACAAAATCTCTCTTCTCCATACCACTCTTTAGGGCTAAGCTTTTCACGAACTTCAGCTCGCCAGCAAATTATGAGAAATTAAGAGAGTTTTGAAATGGGACAGTCTCAGTCAATGAGAGAATTAAATTCTTGAGCATATCTTATTATGAAGATTTACCATTAAGGGGTACTTCTGTATATTGCTGTTTGTGGAATTAGCATCCTCTGATTATAAGCTTACAAAATCCTTAACAAATCTCAGGGTCACTGAAATGAACATTTAAAAGTTAAATGTTTGTCTTAAATCCTATTTCCAAGTATGAGTATACTGTGAACTGGCATAATCAACTGGAAATTCACTTTATGCCAGCTTTAATTCAGTCTTCCTTTTATTTTAGAGAAAGGACTCAAAAGGAAGGATGGGAATTCCTCCTCCAATGGCATTGTTCTTAAAAGCATTCATAAACCATAATATGGAAACATCTGAGAGTGAAGTGACCACACATTGAGTTAAATCTCTTTGGCTGTGATGTTACCTTGAGCAAAGTAAACTTTGATGCAGAAGATGAAGTGGCAGAAAATTTGTGGTGATAATTCTTAGGGAACCACCATTATGAACAAGGAAATTACATTTCTACAAAGACCTCGGTAGATGTTATGCACAGAACATAAGGAATATAAGTTGCTCTCCAGTTAAACACATGTGGTGGTTTACACAGGAAAAATGTATTAAACAAAAGACAAAACATAGAATTTAAGCGGAATTTCTGATTTAGGTGCTGGCTACTGAAGAAGAGACATTAGCTCTCTCACGGCTACTCTACATATTCTGATTTGTGTTTCTGCAGCTAAGGCAATAGTATGTAGAATAATTCAAATCCAGGACAGGAATTTCAATCAGAGTTATCAGTGAAGATGCACCAGCTAGGTATATGTACCTAATATTTGGATAACTCACCAAGTTTTTCAGGAAAATAGAATAGAATGATGCTCTATGAGAACCCAACATGTCCCCTTAAAGAAAGTCCAACTGATACTTCAATTCTATAAGCAACCTATCCAGATAAAATAATGTCAGTAGTAATGAATATTTTCTTTTTGAAGTCTGATATTTTTAAAGCATTGGGAAAATGAAATGATATGCACAGGTTAATGTTAAATGAGCCTTCAGGATTTCAGAAGTTGAGCTATTCACCCAAAACCCAGGAATAAAACCCACTTACAGGGATCAAACAATTCCAAAAAAACCAAACCAACCACTAACCAGACAACAAAACACACAGAAATTTTTACTTACAAAATAATTTCCATCAAAAAATAATCTTCCTGTTTCATTGCTTTTTCTGTACACTGAAGTTGTGTAACTGGGATAGATAATGCCATGGCTGAGGAAACATCCACAATGAGACTGTAAAGGCTGTACCAGATGAGTTTTAGCATACGGTGTTGGGATGATGATACTAGAATGGAGCAAATGGATCTATGCAATGCTGCTGAGTCACTGCTTTGAAAAAACACTGCTTTTCAAAGATCCTTCAGATGATGGGCATACTGAATCAGATCTTATCACAGTGAATGAATATAGATGTAAAGATTATTACTTCCACTCAAAATTCCTGAAGAAGTCTGCAAATATCTTGACAAAGAAATCAGGTTAATACAACCTTGAATTTCTGAAAGGCACTTAGTTCCTCACTATAGACTCTTACGACATGTAAGAATGTCATGGTTTATGGATCCTCAAATGACTAAGCCAATGACAAAAAAAAAAAGAGAGAAATGGGTAAAAGCATATGTGGTCTGTTTTCTCAGTAATGGCTTTTCACTAATGGAATCCAAAAATGGTCTCTGCTTGACCTTTTTTTGTGCAACATGTGCATAAATTATCTGGAAAAGTGAGTAAACATTGAGGAGAATCTCGCTCCAGTATTGATACTAACTTGTTCCAGGAAGAGGAAAAGGAGGCAGATAAAGAACTGAAAAACAACACCAACAAACCGATCAAAAAATAGCAAAAAGCTCTTATACAACTTTCTAGTCCTGGCTGGGCAAAAAAATGGCAGATGAAATACAATTAAAATTTAAATTAAAATTTAAAAGTGATAAATATGTGAAAAAAAAATACCCTTATAAACATGAAAAGATGAAAAATTTACACTTAAACATGACCTTGAAGTTATGACAACTCTATGAAAACATTGGTTCAATGTTCAGGAACAATCAAAACAGGAAATCAAGTATTTGGAATTATTAAGATGGAACAGAGGAACACATCACCATGCCACCACATGAATTCACAAAGCTCCCAGATCTTATAGGCTGCATGCTTTTTGTTCCACAAGTACACGACAGAACAAAAAAGAGAGAGGTAATAAGGAATCAAGGTAGAGAATACCTTTCAAGTACTGCGATGTAAGGTTTACTTTAGATAAGGGATGGCTGACAAGATCATAAAATGGAGGTATACTAAGTCTTGACTGGCATAGAGAAAGTGAAGAGGTTTTTTATTATTTCCTATTTTGCTAAGCTCTCACAAAACTACAGCCTTACAACAATAGGGGAAGCAGTTGCTTAAAGGAGAAAAGCATAACAGTACAGCTGTGAAGGAAGTCCAATGAATGCTTGTCACAGAACAGACAAAGTATTTTGACTACCGAGTTAGCAAATGGAGAACAAATGATAAAGGCAGCTGAAGACAGAAATACTTGCCATTAGGAAACGAATACTTTTCCGAAGACAATACTGGGAGAGGGTGGCGTGTGATGCTCCTCGCGAACAGGGGCAACGAAAGCAGTCGGTGGGGTGAAGCCGAGCTCCACACCCGCAGCTGGGCTATGACATCTCGTGGTCACACGGTCTAAGTGCAGGCCAGAACACCGCGCTGCAGAGCACTGCTTCTTTTGCTTTCTGTATTAAAAGCAGAGACCCTGAAGACGTCCCGTGATTGTGGGCAGGCAGAATAAAATCAGAATTGTACACTACTTACAGTCTCTATATAGATATAGAAATGGATATGCTTCTAAAATTTAAGAAGTGAGGTTATTAGTGATATATGAAAGAGTAGGTTGACTCAAACACTGTTCCATCATTGAAACAGACATGCTTTCATTAAAACTGTTAAATGTGACTTCAGTTCTTGAGGAAAACAGATTAAATTTTAAGTTTAATCTGAATCTAAAAAATCACAGACTACCCAAATAATGCCCCCTCAGCTGTGAATGGAATTGGATTTGGGTTTCATGACATGCAAACTTTATGGTTCTAGCACATGGAATCCTAAAGATTCATGCCTCAGAAACAAAATTTATAAATCTTTATTTGAAAACCCTACTGGAATGCAACTTCCTTCTAGCCCTTGTTTTGGCTCTGTGCAGCTTTTAAGAGCAATTCAGCTCATCATCTTCATGGCTAAAGCAATACTGAAATTTTATTTTGAAATCCTTACAAGAGCAAGGTATGTTGAATTTCACACACATATAGTACAAAATTTCAAGTCTTATAGATACTCCCACTCACTTTTAGGTTTGTGAAGAGGTTGAATATTTAATTTTAAATCATAATCACAGAATCACAGAATATGCCAAATTGGAAGGGACCCAAAAGGTTCATTGAATACAACTCCTGGCCCTGAACAGGACAATCCCTAAGAGCCACATGTTCCTGAGAGCAGTGTCCAAACATTTCTTGAACTCTGTCAGTCTGTGCTGTGACCACTTCTCTGGGGAGCTTGATCCAGTGCCCAACCCTATTAAAGTTAATATTGAACTTCCATATGAAAAAAAAATATATTGGATAACATGGTCACTGAGATGCCTATTCAAGTGAAAATTTCTAATATAAAAAAAAATAAAATTACTCATCAGAAATTTTAAATCAGAAAAACAATATTTCTTGCATAAAATATGAATAAAGTAACAGAAGGTGTTTTATAAAATCCACACTATTTTATCTACTTACAGTCATTTAGATTTGAATTTCTCCTATTTTATCTGCTTACAATAGCCACAAAAGTTTTCACTTCTTTAGAATGTCCCACACAACCTTTTATAAGGGTTTTTTTTCTTCTCCTTAAATAGTTAGTATTTGGTTTAACAACCTAGAAGAAATTTATATATGGCAAGAGATCAGTAGTGTTGCAAATCATATTCATCAACTTTTTAAGCAAATTACAATTTGGTAAGATTATAATATCAACAAAATAAAATGAGTATAAGTAATACTCCCTAGTTATTAAGTTGCAAGTAGGCTTTCCCTAGATGAGAATGAAGTACATTTATGTGAAATACAACAAAGTGAGGATTAAAGTCTCCCAATTCTACCTATTTTTTTTAAAGTAATAAAAACGCAGTCTTCAGGAACATAAACAAAGCACATTCTGAACATTTCAGAACGAAAAATCTAATTCTCAGCAACATGATGAAATCATGTAACAGAGTTACTTCTGTGAAAAACATTGAAGTACTATGACCTTTCATAAAACTCACAGTTAAGGCATAAGTCAGTTCAGAGGGAAAACAGAAGTACCCAAACAAGAGGCCAGAGAAACTAAAGATATTTACACAATAAATAATGTGACTGGATACATACAGAAGGAGGGGGATTAAGTTGCTCTGCCACAAATAACTGTTTTGTCCCATACATAAAGTTGTACAACACACACATTTCCAGAGAGCATCTTGACTTAGAAAGTCAGTTATACTCAGTCTTGCACAAACTAGGCCATGATGTAAAGATAAGGATCAGACACCCTTTTCTCCATGTGGAAAGGAGATACTGCTGAAAATGTGAATGTTGCCACTGTCAAATCTGTATAGAAGAAGCCATTTTGATACATTGTGATTCACTATGTATCTGTCTGATTAACACTTCAATTGACAGAAACTCACAAAAGTAAATCCAACACAAAACTATTCATGACCAAGTTTCCATCCACTTTTATCTGACAGCAGAAACTGCAAATACATCCTATCCATTAGGTCATATTTGTCTACAGGTAGCTCGAGGCCCCTCCTGAATAGCAAGCTCAGTGTAATACCACAGTCTAAGCAACACTTGTGAAAACCTGAAAGCTGCAGTTGAGACCTGCTGGTAGAGTTTTACACACCTTTGGCAAAGCTGGCATCAAATGTACTTGAGAAGGTAAACATCAGTCCCAAGTCATACGAGAATGAAAATATATATACTCCTTTATGTTCATTGAAGCACAGTGTTCTTATTTGTGCCTGCAGGTGAAAGATGCACCTCTGGCTCAGAATTGTGGGGAGGACAGACGGAGAGGGGGTCAGAGCTCTGGAACACTTATATAAAGCTGCTTCTTGTACCCCGCCCCTCTTGGTCAGCGACAGCCTCTCCAACAGGGAGATCAGATGTGTCTAATGATCAGAACAGATGGATGTGAAAATTGAAATAAAGTCCTGAAGCATGTTATCTTGGAGTTCTCACAAGCAGATGGTTCTGAGGACTTTTGGTGGAATGCTCCACAGACCCCATGTATAATACCTGTTTGGAGTTAATTTTGCTGCCAATCAATGATGTAGGTAATCACCTTCTCAGAGAGGTATTAGCAAAAATTATATGAAAGAAGTCAAGAGGACTACTAATCTCAGATGTAATCTTGATTGTCTAGCAGAGCAATGGCAAGCTTTCTCACAATCTTAGCTGTGAGATATACTTCAGCCAAAGGCAAAACACAATAATTCCTTTAAGAACTTTTTTCCTCTCTACAAGAATGTATACATCTTTTTTGAGAAAAAGGAATCAAAATGTCTGAAAAAAACCAGAAATGAGTATATTAAGAAATACATGATAAGCTGGGTCAATTAAGCATAAGTCATATCAGGCACCTAACAAATATTTCTGGTCCATCATAAAGGCCAAAGGTTCAGTTTTTCTCCAAGCACATAAAAAAATAATTTCAGCCAATCTAAGAAAAACTGGCAACTATTTAAATTGTCAACTCTGCTTGGGAGCCTATCTGTCTACACTCTACACCTGTACATTTAATAATCTGTTGGAGGCTCTAAAGATCAGTGACAACATGCTATCTTTCCTAAAGAAACCACTCCAATGCTTACCAGGGACATAAAAAGACAGATGGCCTTTTGAGGTGGTTGACCCTGGCTGGTTTCCAGGTGCCCATCCAGTTGCTCTGTCACTCCCCTCCTCAGCTGGAGAGGGGGAGAAAAACATGACAAAAGGCTTGTGGTCAAGATAAGGACAAAGGAGGTCAGGTAGCTGTTACTGTCACAGGCAAAATAGAGTTGACACAGGGAACTTAGTTTAATTCATTACAAATCAGATCAAAGTAATTAGAAATAAAACCAAACCTTAAAACACCTTTCCCCTACTCCTCTTTTCTTTCCAGGCATAAATACTGTTTTTCCTTATCTTGTGCCAGCAGAGTAGGGGGACAGGGAGTAGGGGTTACAGTCAATTCATCACACACTATTTCTGTCACTCCTTCCTCAGGGAGAGGACTCCTCACTCTCTTTCCCTGCTCCAACATGAGGCCCATCCCATAAGAGACAGTCCTCCACAAACCTTTCCAACATGAGTCCTTCCCACAGGTTGCAGTTCTTCGCTAACTGCTCCACCATGAGTCTCTTCCATGGAGTGCAGTCCTTCAGGCACAGGCTGCTCTAGCATGGGTCACCCTTGGATAACAAGTCCTGCCAACAAATGCGTTCCAACATGGGGTCCTGTCTCCATGGGTCCATAGGTCCTACCAGGAGCCTGCTCCAATACAGGCTTCCACAGCTCACAGCCTCCTTTGGGTATCCACCTGCTCTGGCATGGGGTCCTCCAGATGCTGCAGGCGGATCTCTGCTCCAACATTAACCTCTCTGGGCTGCACCATGAGCTGCATGGGAACTTGTGGCAGTGCCTGGAACCCTTTTCCTCCCAATTTCTCCAGTGACCCTGCTATCTGTGGTTGCTTCTCTCATGTATTCTCAGTCCTTTCTCCTACCTTTTTACAGCAGTTTTTTCCCCTTCTTAAATCTGTTATTCCTTTTTTTTTTAACTTTTTTAATCTGTCATCCTAGAGGCACTACCACCATCACTGATGGGCTCAGTTGTTGGCAGGACAAAGGCAGTGGCAGTGGCAGGTCCATCCTGGAGCCAGGCTGGCACTGGTGCTGCTGTAATTGAGGGAAGCTTCCAGCAGCTTCTCACAGAAGCCAGCCCTGTAGCCTCCCCACTGCCAAGACCCTGATACACAATCTTAATGTAACTTTTCAGATTTTTCCTCTTATGGTGGTAGTCTGAAACCTAAATAAAACTAAATAAAACAAATAAAAAAAGGACATTCATACTTGGGCTAGTAAACTTATACACAAATAAGAAATGTTCATGGTAATATTACAGAATGTTTTTAAAAATGAACCAGGACTCCCTTCTACACAAAATATTACATCTCTCAGGACTATTTTCATTTAAAACCAATTTCTTTTTGGTTTCAACATTCAATATTCCAATTTATTAGTATGCTTGTATACACAGGTATATATCCATAGACAGAAAGCTGTGCTGTACCTGAACATTCAGAAATGACAGCACTTTGACAGTTTCTAGCCCAAATAAGTGAATATTGAGACTTACAGACCTCTGTATGAATATATTGGCATTCTGCTGTTTCTATCAGTATAAACCAAGCAAGCATTGGCTATGAGTAACATAGCAAATATCCTGCAAGGCATTATTGACTTATTGAAAATTAAGGTCATCTGAAGAATGGTTCAAATAATATTAAATTTTTAAAAATTGCACTTCTGAGCTCTCTGTTTTGTATTCCTCTAAGTGGGATGTAAGGAGTAACATCTTCCAGAAAAAACATGCTTGTCACTGAGGAACATGCACTGATACACTGAACAGAAGGAAGAAGAGATTATAGTTGATGACAGCACACGGAACATACTCTCTTAAAATATCCATAAGCTATATTACATTCAGAATTCCAAAATAAAGAAGACAGAGATTTCATATTTGATTTGTTCTGGCACAAATCTGGATAAACTAGAATGCAGGGCTACCCAACATGAAGTTATTAAAACAGAATTATATCCACAGTCTAATCTCTGGCAAGCACTCAAAAGCAGTCAAAGCAATAGTCATGAGATAGTTTTATTTTATGGTAAATATCTGACATTTTCATTAGTATACACTGGCAAGAACTGCATATTGATGTTCCAAATGCCTATAAAAAGCAAAAATTAATACACACCCCAAAAAAATTGAAAGTTATTTAGAAATTACTTTGTATTTCACATTCGTTTTAAGCTCCCATGAGATTGCCAGCAAGCACAAGTAAAAAAAAATATTTTGGTGAGAAAAATTGAAGGTTTTATATGTAAATACTGATAAGTCAGGCAAAAGATCCACATAGCAGAGCTCTTCAAGTAGCAAAAGGAAATGCTATGTAGGGAGAACACACATTCAGCCAGTTTCTCCCAGCACACTTCCACAGCACCTACAAGTGTTGGGTGAGGAATGTTAGAAAAAACACACTTGCCTGCTTCTGTTCTTATTAAGTAATTACTTTGGTTATGACAATTCTTTTTGGAACCCACTTGTACTACTTGACTACAGAATGTTGAGTAAATTCCAAGAGTTCGATGCGTACTGCATAAGGCAGCACTTCACTTGTCTGTTTTAAATTCACCTCCAACTACCTTAATTGAACGCCATCTCATTTTAGTACTGTGAGATTTGGCAAGCAACAGTTCCACATTTCTTTTATCCACTTCCTTCATGATCATAGGAACTTCAGACATATTTTTGTACTTTCTTTTTTGCCAAATTGAACCTACAGCTTTGGTGACACTACTGTAGGCAGGTGTACTTTCAGATAGACTGCGAGTGTAGCTTTCATTTTTAAATCTCCTTTGTACTTAAATTTTTGCTTTGAATGGAATTAAGTCACTTCTAAAACCTAATTTTACTTTTCAACTTTTGTCAGCCGAAAATCTAAAAATTCCCAGAAGAATAATTATTATTATTTAATAAATAAATATTATTATGTCTGTTATTACCTATGTAATATGAAAACATGAAAAAACAGGTTCCAACTACCTTTAAGCATAGCTATATACAGCAACTCATATCTGAAAATATTCAATCAGTCATGTGTACATAATATGATATTTTCCCAACCTTAAAGGAGTTTGAAATAACTGTTAATGGGTTTTGGTACAACACAAACTCTGGAAACAAAGAGTAACCAGGAATTCAGCACTAGTTTTAACATAGACATCTGAATTGTACACCATCTTGTAACTGTCTGTTAACTGGATTTGAACAAAGTTTGTCAGAGCAACCTAAAAAGTAACTTAAAGAAAAAAATGCCCTCACAGGAAGTCTATTTGAGAGATGTATCCATATCTCAGCTGCCATCAATTACTGCATGGAATGCATTAGGAGGAAGAAATAAAATCCTTATCTTACATTGAAAGCTCTCACAGGTGAACAATTATAATCCACATTGGCTTCATCTGAATTTTGTGATAAACCTCTGTACCAACAGAGAGCAAGTCCAATCTGATACATTTAACAAATTTAGTTTTTCCATTTCATTGCTATTCCTGCTGTAGCAGAACACACTAACTGTTCATTTTTTACTTTATGCTTATTATAACTTAAAAGCACAGAAAGTAGAGATTAAAATCTTCAAAGATCCTTCATTGATCAATTTTCCAATTGTGATTGTCTTTATAGACATTCAGAAATCTTTTTAATGAATTTGAATAACCTGTTAAAGCTGAAGTCCAAAAGTACTGTGATGCAAACATCACAGTTGTGCAATTTTTCTCAAATGCAAACATCACAGTTGTGCAATTTTTCTCAAATGGAGATCATCCTGCGCAAAAATAAACAGTGATTGTAAAACTTCAATTGAAGGAACTTCTACTGGAGTAACATGCAAGATGCACGATTTGTATTTTCTATGTTCTTAACTTTGTTATAAAAGCAAAATTCACAGAAGGACTTAGAAAGCTTTCCCGTTCCACAGCAAAGGGCCAGGCATTCTGTCAATGCTGCAGCTGGCAAGAAGAGGTAATCTTTGTTCCAGAAGTGCCGCAGCTATTTGGAATCAATGCCAGCAGGCTTGGGAACAACAGGCCAGGGCATAAGAGTGTCTGTGAGCTCTGTACAAAACTGTGCTGTGGGCACTGTGTGAGAGAGAGAAGTGCTGGGAGTGAGGTTCTCCAGAGAAATGGGCAGAGAAAGTTCTCTGCTAGAGAGCACCAGACAGAGGTTTGCAAGAGTTCAACATATTCATTTGTGGGTAAGATTATGGTGTGGTTTCCAAGAGACTAAAACTAATAGAAAGCCCTGAGGAATAAAAAGCTTTGGAAAGTGCAGGGGTGGGGTGGGGAGGTCAGGTCAAATTTCTCTCTGTTGAAAAGATGAGATCGGTTTGCATGTTTCTCTTGTTTCTGTACACCTTAACCCAAGCCTTAGATCATCAGAAAAGTCAGCTTTGCTCAAAGGCAACTGGTATTAGAAGCTGGAAATCACAACAAAGACTTCTTAAAAACATTAGTCAGTAAAGTTAAATAGGTATCAATGGAGACAACATGAAGAACAAAATAATTAAAAATACACTGGTGCTGAAAATTTTATATAAATCATCCTGCCCCCAGTAATGGAGCACAGATTCAACAGTGATTGAAATAATATTAAGTGGTTTTCTACAACTAATTTTTATTTTTCATACTCTTGAGTAAAAGAGCACATCTAAAATATTCCTGCATATAATGTAAAGTAAGTATGTGCATGCTTTGACAAAAAAGAAGACGACCAAAAAATTAGGATTATAACCCTTGTAATTTTACCTTGGCTATCTGCATATTTTTCCAGAACTGCTTCCTAGAGGAAGCTCCAGACAGATATAATTACTTCTACTCTTATGGGGCTCGGTCTCTTCAGGAAAATACTTGTCAGAAATCTAACACTTAAAATATGGATGCATGGCTGAGTTATATAAACTTGCATCATCAATCCTTGCTTTAAACACTTTCCATTTTTATTATGAATCCACATTTTATATAGATATTTTTTTCAGCCATAAGAAAGTAAAAGCTTTGAAAATCCTTTATTATAAAGTGTCAAACTGTATTTATTCTAAAGTTTTTTTAAATCCCTGTGTTATAACAAATGCAACAATTTTTTATTTTTTTTCAAAGAAGATTTACTTACCAGTAAAGTTATTTTTAGCTCTTTTCATGATCTAAAAGTAACAAAAGCATTTTATCTTTAGACACCACAAGGATACCATGAAACTGTCAGTCAGTGCATATGCAACAGATTAGTCCAGCTACTGACTTCTCTATTACGTTGTGAAGAAGGTAGAAGGAAGAAAAGGCAAGAAAGTGTTGTGGAGAAAAAGTAGGATTATATAAAATATATATGTCAATACAGTGCCTTGACATCTCCATTTTTCCATAGTTCTTACATCCAAATGATTATCACATATTTAAAATGCATAATTAATTATACAAATATTAATGACATTTCGACAACAAAATAATTACATAACCTTCTATTTTTGCTTATTTTTTAGTTTACAAAACTAGGTCTGTTTTCTTTTATCGCAGAAGCATGACTAGACCTTAAAAGATTTTTTTATTTTAATTTTGTCAAATCAGAATATTGCACAAAGAGAGGAAGAGAGTCTTCTTAATAAATTAATTGCTTTGATAGTGAAATCAAGCATGACAGCAATGACCCTTGCCTGTATTACAAGGTCAGTGCAGTGATCAGGGGTCACAGTAGGCACAACTTGAACCCAAGACTGGTTTAAGTGGTTTAACTTCAGAAAATGACATTGTTGGTACAGGTGTGCGAGAAATCAACAATATATTTTGATATCTGGATGACATATCAGGATGCCTGCTCCATACTGTTTTCTTTTTCTGCCATATTGATTCCAGGTGATCAGGAAAGACGTCCATAAATGTATTCTCATACAAGAGCCCAGTAGAAAAAAACAGAGGAAGAAGAGAGAAAGACCCAGGAACATAGAGCCTACCTTCAGTACAGTATGCCTATCTACAACTGTCCTTCTTCTCACGGTTCAAAAAAGATGGAAAAGCCCCCAGGAAAATGCTTTCCTGGGAAGTACATTATTCTATCCTGAATTGTGATTATTTTTCCAAAATTAACAAAATGAATTATATTTCTTGGCCTTCTAGAACATTCTGCAGACCCATCAAGGAGCAGACTGGACTGGAACATCTCTGCATTACTTTTCACATCATGCTTACCAATTAATGGCTTTGCAACTGCATTCCTGGAACTTGACTGGCTCATCAGTATTTAATTGATAGGAAACACAGATGGAAAATCATGCCAAAGAACCTTCCCATTCATGAAAGAGATCTATACCTCTCTAATAGGACAATGGTTTTGTTATCATCCAAAAGCCCAAGAGTCATTCAGCCTTCCTGTGCTGAAAAGTGACAATTTTCTTGAACTCATCTAAGATATTTAAAATATTGAAGCTGTTGAAAAAGAGTTCCATTGGTTCTACTGAAAGACTAGAGAATACAAAGCATTTACAGTGAGTATCACTGAACTGGAGGCTTATTAAGCCAGACTCTAATTAATGTAACTATCTCAGCAGAAAATTATTCACTCTTTCTTTTTATAGTACCAAATCATCTATTTATCACAGTACCCCTTAATAACTTCCATGAATAAGGAATACAAACATTTCCTTCCTATAGCCTACTTCCCCATGAAACACCTCTTTCTCCTCTCCAAAAAAAAGGAAAAAGGAAAAAAGGAAAATCAAATAAACAAAACCACAAAATAAACTCTACAAATTCTTCTCCTTACTCTTTGCTTACTTTCTGTGTTTCACTAAGATTTGTACAAGAAATTGATAAAGAAACAGCCAAACAGCAGGGAAACCTGCATTTGAGCAAGTTCTAAAGACATTCAGCTAAAAAAGCAGTTAAATTTCCAATTCTAAACTCATAACTGAGAGACAAGATGTTTGGGATTAACACTGAAATAAAATTCAAAGGCTTAGTCAGGAAAGGGTAACGGAGTTTTAACTGGTTTTATCATCCTGGCATACGGAAGTTCAAACTTGTTGCAACTAACAAGAACAAGTTCAGTGTGCTCAAGACCAGCTCCATTTGCTTAGCTGAAACTCTTCCAGAACACTGCCCTGAGAGTCAACAGATGTCTCTGGCTCAGGTACCTTTATTACCACTGCTAGACAGCAACAAAACATTAGGTACCATCTACTGCAGTGCCGTCCACAAGTGAAGTCAGTGCTTATGGGGCAGGACATGGCAGTTTTTGAATTCAGATAATTTAATGTCTTCAGAGAGCTGCAAGTTCTGACCATTTCTCTACCTTGTATTTTGACATTTTAGCAGTCTGCTACTGGAAATGACAACAGCACTCATACAATGTAAAAGCTTATTGTAAGAAGGGTTATGAATAAGATGACAGAAGATGCTACACAACCCTAAGTCATCAAACTAAATGGTAATTAAAACCAAGAGTAATACAAAACAATAAAAATATTTCACAAGAAATAAAGAAAACATCCATTATAATTCTGACTGTGGAATCAGGCAAAAAACCCAGTTTGCTACAGAAAGCTGTCTCAGCACACTAGAATGTTCTGAGGGTATTGTTTGCTCTTACCACTTTCTTCTGCTGTAATCCATGAAAGATAAAGAAGATAGACACAGCTTTAATTTAAGAAACAGACAAATTAACCCAAAAATAACAACTAGATAATAAAACTATTATTTATTTAGCTTCTGAATTGCATACTATTAATAGTTTTCTGTTTTCTTTATCATACTGAAATTGTCTAAGTGTGCTTCATTCCTGGCCCATTTGTGCCACATCCTAGTTGCAGTGTAGAATAAAACCAAATGTACATGTGAAATAGATAAGAAAAAAGTAAAATAACTACATGTCAATTAAAAAAAGAAATGCTTGATAAGCTTGTTACCATACTAAGCCAGGAGCAAAATTCTGGTCACATTCTAAACTTCCTCCCCTCATCCTTGATTCCTTTCCAATCCAATTTTTTCTGTAAAAATAGTGAAAAAAGTTTATGGCAATAAATTGCCATATTTACAATGGCAATAACAGTGCCTCAGAGTTTGTGCATTTTGTTGACAGGATTTTCTTTCAGAACAGAGTTTCCTTTAAAATAAAATGAGTGTCCACTCCAAAGCATGACATTTACCACCAAATTAGTTCTGGACAGATCTCTTTCTGTTTCCTTTCTCTTTTCTTTCACACAATTATGTCTTCTGGCAACATCACACAAAAGTCAAAACAGAACTTCCAAGAGTTTTCCAGACATTTGTAAGATTGTACAAAGCTTCAAACAGACAGTTATTTCATTTGATATACAGAAGAAACCTGATACATGTGTCTTAGCTACAAAGAAAGAAAAGTTAGTCAAGTTTACTGAATGCAGTAAGGACCTAATATTTTGTTTTAAACTTCAAAGTAGAGAAGGGACAAAGTAGGAATAACTAAAAATAGCATTTGCTTAAGCACAAACAAGAAATGTTCAATTTTAATGCACAAAACAATTTAATATTTCAAAATCTTTGTGATTTTGACACCATTAAGGGGAAGGCAAGAGGAATTTAGCTCAGCTGAAATCAGTAAAATGTTTGACACTGATTTTGTCAATGAAAAAACACCCCTACTCCTTAAGATGACGATGAAAGCTGAATCTTCAATATTTTATATTTTTAACCTATTTAAAGTACTTTTTTCCTTACTAGGAACTTAATATTTTTCACCTACCAAAGCACCTGT